TAAATTAAATTATATTAAGTAAACAAATAAATATTATGTGACTTAATAATGTTTCAACAAAATAAATATTTAAAGTACACCAAATATGTGCCTAAAGTTTTACTTAGGTACTCATAACATACATTTTTTATAGTTCTTTGAAATCTAATAATTTAATAAATTTACTAATAAACTAAACATTTTTTTATTACTGATCCTATTGACAGAATCGTTGAGGTATTCTTATTTCTCTTCCATATCTAGAGACTTTGGTTGTGTTATGTCACGGCTCTGACTGTGGAATATCTGATGTGCAATTAGTGTTTGATGATGTATGCAATCTATGTATTGGTTGACATGGTGTATAAAATGTGTTTAAGTGACTTATTGTTGACTGAGCTGTCTCTGGTGAACTAAAAGAAGTGTTAGAAGTTTGATCAAAGGTATATTCAGACTTCTGTTTGATAATATGTTGTCTATTGCGACAGAATTTACCTTGGGAACTATAATTAATAGGTCCAGAACCACGAGTTCTGGACCAACTTGTTGTATGATACCAGCGTGACTGAGGTTGTTTTTGAAATAATACTTTATTACCTTTATGTTTATATGTTTCATTTTAGTAATATTATTATCATAATTTATTTTTACATGTTAGTAATTACACTGTCTAGGTTTCAACGGTTTTTCTTCAACAGGTAATTAACTACGTAGTCTACGAGACATTAAAAGCTGAGCTGGAGACCATAAATTGTTTTTGAGAGTATTGCGGTACTGTTATAAGGTGATGTATGGATCTGTGTGTGTGTGATTCTCATTTTTTAAGCATGTTCTTAACAATAGCAACTGTTCTTTCTACTAAACCATTTGAACGACTAATGTAGGGACTTGAAGTGATATGGTGTAAGTGCCAATCATTTGCTAAATTATAAAAAGCTTTGGAATTCATGGGTGGGCCATTATCCGATATAAGTGTATGAGGAATGCCATGACGGGCAAATATTTAATTGTTTAAACTCATTCTTATGTTCTTGTGTCCATGACCAGACTGTATGTTTGTTTATTAAGTAACTGCCTTAAATTAGAAGTTTGTTTTGACAAATCTTTAATGAAACTACCAAGGAAATTTATGATTCCAAGGAACCTTTGAACCATTAGTCCCCTACTAATGGCATTTTGCAAATTGACTCTACTTTAGATGAATCAACTAACACTTCATCTTTGTTAAATTTAAATCCTAAATATTTTACTTCAGTTTGGCAAATTTTAAAGTTTCCTAGATTGAACTTGAATCCTATTTTTCTTGCACGACCTAAGACTTGCTCTAAAATACTTTTATGGACCCCATAAAGTATCTGCATGGATTAGAAAATCATCCATCATTATTTTTAAACCTTTTATATCACCAAAACGTAAAACCATCTCTTTGTGGAATATTTCAGGGGCTGCATTTATGCCAAAAGGAAGTCTAAGAAACCTGTATTTACCAAAAGGTGAATTAAATGTACAGAGCTTAGATGACTGCTCATCTAGAATTAAGTTCCAAAATCCTGATCTAGCAGCTAATGTTGAAAAATAACAAGAACAATTGAGTTCTGATTTAATATCATCAATATGTGGAAATGGAAAATGAGAACGCATAATGGCATTATTTAACTTACGTGGATCAAGACATAATCTAATGCTGCCATCTTTTTTAGACACAATTACCATTGCACTGACCCACTTGTTGGTTCAACAATCCGAGCTTTTATTCCGGTTGAATCAAGTTTTTTAAGTTCTGCTTTTACTTTATCCTGTAATTTAAAAGGTATTTTTCTACATGCTCCGACAGAGGGGTTGATATCAGGCTTAAATGTGAAATGACATTCATAATTTTTAATTGCTCCAATACCATTGAAAACATCATTATATTTCCTTAATATTTTATGACAATTTGACTGTGGATTCGTAATTAGTGACTTAAATAAAACTAGTTTTTACGGGTTAATGCACGAAACTTTATTATTTATTGACGTTTCGTAGCCTTTACAGGCTACGTCGTCAGAATTAAACTTTTATGTAATTTGTCGAGCTACCTTCGAGAGACTTTTATTGAGCGTTCGGTTATTTCATTGTTAGATTTTTAAAGTTTTAGTGTCTATGTATGAATTTATTATTAAATTTACTTAATAAAGTATTTTATTTAAATTCTTTTTTGTAATTTTGAGTTTATTTATTTGACCCTAACAACCGTAAACTACCACCGGTTCCAAAATCGGGAGACCTTTCTGAGAAGAACCGGCGAAACAAACTCAAGAGAGGCTTTCTATCTCCTTATGTTAAATTATGCAAACAAAAAGAACTAATAGTATCTGATGGTCCTGCAGTGTGTGCTCGGGGTTGGGATTTTATCTCCTGTATAATAGGTTCCCAAGCTGGTGGTATATACCAACCATCTTCCCCATTGAAATTTGGATATTATTTAATCTCAATAGCCTCGCGCATCATTCGAGGAACGAACCGCCGCTCAGCTGCAAGGATCTGTGGTCTATCAAATCTAATGTAATGGTTTGGTCCCCCTAATGCATGTTCACACACTGCAGACTTATTTTCGCGCCTATGTTTCATATCTGCGATATGTTCTTTTACCCGAGTCCCTATACTCCTCTTTGTTTGCCCGATGTAGGAGAGCCCACAGTCGCATTCAAGTTTGTAGACACCAGCAACTTGAAAGGGTATATTGCACTTGACCGGTCGTAGGCTGGTTGATCTTCTTTGGCGGCTTGAAGTATGTATTGATTGAAGCACGCTTCAGAATCCTCCCAATCTTGTCAGTGACTCCTTTCATGTAAGGTAGTATAGCAGGTTGTCGGTCGACTGTGCTAGGTTTGGCGCGACTGTGACGGCGAATGTACCACATTCAGGTTATTATCCTTCAGTACTGGCTCGACATGCTGAAGTTCAGCTGCCAGGTGCTGTTTGTCACAGACACCCCGTGCTCTCTGAAACAAAGAGTTTCCTACGGCAGTTAATTGTTTCGGGTGATGGTGTGAGTCACCATTGAGGTACCTATCAGTATGAGTCACTTTACGATACACAGTGTGGCTTAAACTTTGGTCAGGATTCCTGATTAATAAAATATCTAGAAAAGCTAGTTTACTATCTGCCTCTAACTCCATTGTGAATAGGATGTTGGGGTGTATAGAGTTAAGGTGATTTAAAAAGGCAGAAATTTGATCTGTTGGGAGGATTGTCACAGTATCATCTACGTACCGCTTATATAGCCTGGGTGTGACAGGTGCTACGCTGAGAGCCCTCTTCTCGAAGTCTTCTATCAAAATATCGGCGACAACAGGTGAGACAGGGGAACCCATTGCAACGCCCTCCATTTGTACATAGAAGTCATCCCCCCATAACAGGTAGCCAGATGTAAGGCAATGCTCCAGTAATACTGCATATTCTATAGGCATATTATTTTCAAGTAGCTTCTTCTTAGTGATTTCGATGCAGTCCTGTACTGGTAGGCATGTAAATAAGGACTGAACATCAAAACTGACCATGATTTCATTGACCATGAGATGTTGATCTCTAATCTCATTGACAAATTGGTATGAATCTTTCACAAAGACTGTTGTGTTACCTCTCAGTGGTGAAAGTAACTTTGCTACGTGTTTAGCCAAACGGATGTTGGTGAATCAATCTGGCTTACAATCGGACGTAGCGGAGCATTTGGTTTGTGTATTTTTGGTAACCCATACAGTTTTGGTGGTTTGGGACATGCAGGAATTAGGTAGTTGATGTCAAGATCCAACGTTTCGGAAAGTGATTTGATGAGTTAACTTGTTTTTTTGAGAATCTTGGCGGTCGGATCACTCTTCACAAGTTTATATGTGTTCTCATCCGATAGAAGTTGTAATATCTTCTCGTTGTAATCTAACGTATCCATTTCTACCGTGGCGTTTCCTTTATCTGCACGAAGGATAGTAAAAAATCGAACAATGAAATAACCGAACGCTCAATAAAAGTCTTTCGAAGGTAGCTCGACAAATTAAATAAAAGTTTAATTCTGACGACGTAGCCTGTAAAGGCTACGAAACGTCAATAAATAATAAAAACTAGTTTTATTTAATGAGTGATGTGCGTGAAAACCTAAGAAACAAATAATTAGTGACTTGTTCTGACTGTTGTAACTAGACTCTGACTGTATTTGACTCTAACTATGAATGTTTTCATTAAATATTACTGATTGGATTCTTTTGAGTAATTTTAATTGTTCACATGACTGTCTACCAAGTACATTTCTGCAATCTATACATTTAATATAAAAAGATAAGACATACAACTTGTTTTTGTCTTCACAAGAAATTAGACAACAACCTATTGTATATCTGAAAAAAATTGCTAAGGTGTATACCAGTCCATAGATGCTGAATTTGATATAACAGCATAAACCCCATAACAGAACATTGCCGATTTATTGCTTGGGGGGGGGGGGTCGATTTATTTTCGAAACAATTTAAGTATAGAATATTTAAATTTTCCCAGTAATTTAAAATACCTGAATAGTTAGGTATTAAACGTTTAGTAGATGCCTAAGTTGTTTATTATTACAGGCTTGGTTTTTATCAACAATCCTTTTCAATATTTGCAATTTTTTTAATGTAATTTATCATCAATAAATATTTGGAAAAAAACTTAAGACAAGAAAAACATACAAAAAGAAATAAAATAAAACTGGTTTGGCGCAATAATGTTATTTGCATCAAGATAATTAATAAGTCTTTTATTCAGGATCTTTTCCAGAAAAACGGAACCCTACCACAAAGTGAAATAAAATACTTTTCGCTCCGGAATCAATTAGCTAAAATGTATTTACAATACCAATTAAATTAACACAGCTGGTAAGCAACAAAAAGCAAAATATATTTCATACACGCCATATATCATTTTCTATTGTTTCGACAAGTGAGAGTGAAGTACCCGATGAGACTATAAAAGCGATAGGTGAGCCGATTATAGATACTTTGTCAGACGTGAAAATGTGGAAGTTTGTACTTATAGTGGGCATCATCGCCGGCCTGTTCCCGAGAGTGACCTATGCAGGTATTAACATATAACACTTAATTTAAAAAAAATAGTAGTCGCAATTGGCAGTTTTATATTGTTGGATTTACTCTCTAAAATTAGAATCAGAAGCATAGACAAAGTCGCAATTTTAATTTTTATATACATTTTTAAACTAGATATTTTAGATAGAAATACTACTGCACCCGAAATATAGAACCTACAGTATCAAAGTAAATGTACATCGCAAACCGAAATTATTACGGCGGCGCGCGATCCGCATTATTGGCGATAAGGAGGTGACTAAACACCACGAGCCTCTTCAATTACGCCGTCATGTGACGTTATTATGCACGTTTTATCATCTATACCATGGCGCATGTTCTGAGGAGTTCTTGTCCCTTAACCTACCTTCCCATTTCGTACAGAAGTCTACACGCGCTGGCTTACGTTGTCACCGACTTACTATGAACTACTAATACCACTATTCCCAATTGTTTTAGTAAATTAATCTAAATTGTTTTAGTATATTAATCTACGAACTCGTACGAAAATTTTCGCGTTGGTTGCAGGTGATCAACCCAAAATGACAAAGTTAAGCTTTGATTTACTGGACTATAATAGTAGTTATATTTTTTAAGCATTTAACTTTTAGATGTTTACATCTAAAGAAAATGTTACGAGAACATAGTTAATGGATCACAAGACTTACATGATCATCTAAGCAGGGTGAGAATGTTAAGTTCGCAACTTTATCTTTCATGTATCTTAAAGTCAATTTGGGAAACTCATTGGCGAAGTGGTAGTGCGGTTAGTCTGCGATTGTGGTAGTAAAGCAACTTTCGCATAGCCTGTCATGGAATGAGTGGCCAAACTATTTATTTGTGTTAGTCCTGGCTGCTTCTGCACACCAAAGTACCCAATAAACCGAATTGCGCCCTAGTGCCTCAGTAGTGGAAGGTGAGAATCATGAGATAATGATGAAGCCGATTTTCATAGACGGCTCCACAATTTGCTTCACTGCGCCTAATGTTAAGTGTAAGTTGAGTTCAGTTGATAGCTGAATTGAGAAAAAATTGGTATGACTGACCTTGCAATTCTAGTTCCCTTCACCACGGAATTTTTGAAATCTTGCTCACTGCAGGAACACAAAACTAAAGAATATAACATTACCTTGATGAAAATCGTCAATCGCATTAAAAGAGGAAGAATAATAGTAAGGGTATAAAGTAGGGCATAAAAGTTTTCTTGCTTGAATTGGAGTACATATCTGGGAAGTAACCTCAAAGAAAACCACAAAGAAATAGCACTCCCTATTCCCTCCCTATAGTAAGATTTTCAGAGCTTCACGAAATAAGGAAAGAATAAACAACAAAGTCAAACTCAAAGTCACTTTTACATAAAAATTAAGAAATTGTCCAAATCGATATCCTATGTCCTTAGCAAGACACACCAAGGCTAGGCTGGATTAGAGGACTGGAATAGTTTAAACCGCGCCCCAATCGAATTGGAGGAACTAAAACCATTTAAAAATAAACTTGATTTTGACCTTTCATTATGAAAATGACTCGAACAACGCTTTTGGACTACATTCCGACTAATGTTAAATATAATGTTTACAGAGGTTGTGATCTGCTACTATGGCACTTGGGCGGTAAACAGACCAGGTCTGGGCAAGTTCGGCGTGGAAGACGTAAACCCGAACCTCTGTACCCACATCATATACGCATTCGCGGGCATAGATTCAAATGGAACTGTTATACCTCTTGATATAGAACTTGATATTAATATGGGTAAGTAATTCTAACTATTTCATAGTCGACATGATACCCCTCTTAGTTATAGATTATCGCGAAATCCGAAGGGTAGAGCTGTATTTATCTTTTTCCGCTGTCAAAGTTTATGCGTACTTGATGATAATAAAAAAAATGGCGTTGAATTATGTCGTAACTATAATTTAGTGTTTCTTTATGTCTATACAGAACAGCATTTGTGTGCAAATTATCCTTGTAAAAATTGATAGAACGATTCCAATGATACGGTCGCACCCGTGGTGCTCTATGCTCCCAGTCTGTAGACGCTATATTTTTTTATAACAAACTTAGTAAATGACTGCGCTGCGTCTGACTGATGTAAGTTTTTGTGGAATCCACGTGCGATAAGAAACAGAATGTAAACTTATGCCACACCTGTCACCCTTGACTTGACAACTTGACAGCATAATCGCTTCTCTTCTTCTGTTCTCCCTTTGCTCTTAATTCTTCCTAAATTGGCTACAAGACATAACAGAATACAGTTATTGCTGGTGATTTCCAGACCTTCGATTAATCATCTAGGGAAACAGATAATAGGGCTTCTCTTTACTGTTTTTGTATCAACATAACTTAATCATCAGTATATGAGGTAACTGCTTTCAGCAATGGTTGGATATACATATAAGTTTTCGGTCACAATTTTGAGGACTTCTAAATTCTTTTCTCCCTACCTATGTAGTAAGAGTTCATTTTATGGTTGTTTTAGTGCATTGTGAAAGCCAAGCATCATGATTTAACTATTTGGTAATGTCATAACAAAATTACAGGTAACTACAGAAATTTCACCAATCTGAAAAAGAAAAATACAAAACTTAAACCTATGTTGGCTGTCGGAGGCTGGGGTGAAGGTTCAGCGAAATATTCCGAAGTGAGTATCATACAATCAATCGTAATGATCAGCATATCAATATGCTCACTAATAAGGCTTCTAGTTTACCTCTATGAACAAAATATTTTTTAAACATCCTTAAGCTGTCTTAAGGATGACTCACGCTACATCGTGGCGGGTCCAGGCCGGGTGTTCGTCGTGCCAAGTCTGGGCGGCACCTGTGCCAGGTCCGAGCGTCGGCCGTCGCATAATCGCATTCTCACAGTCAACTACTATCACATACTTTTTATATGGACACACTCACGCTAAAGGTAAGCTAGGTAGGCTAGGTTGTAGCTGTGTCTAATGGGTCCAACATTCGAGCGATTCGATTCAACTTATTCGCAAATGCAATTAGTAGTATATGTAAGAAAGTTGGTATATCCTGCTTATATATAAATGAAAAAGTGTAATCTTACAACAGATCAAAGAACTTTGAACCATTTGACGTATTCTAATGATGTATGAACCATATATATCGCTATCTATTGTGTGCTCCATATTGGTTCGTGAATTTTTGATTCTGATACTAATGAACTCATTCAAGTAAAAGCAAAATTCGCCAACATTTTAAAATGTAGTTTGATCTCCAAACTATGACAGGTAATGTGAATAATAAATCTTTCAGATGGCGGCTGATCCAGCTAAACGACAAAACTTCATTCAGAGCGCTCTCGACATCATATTTAAGTACAATTTTGAGGGCTTTGACTTGGATTGGGAATATCCCAATCGTCGAGACACAGTCCACGGTGTCGATGACATAAATAACTTTTCACAACTCGTAAAGGAAATGAGGGAAGAATTTGATAAACATGGCCTGATATTGACAGCGGCTGTGTCTTCCGTAGAAGCATCAGCATCACAGTCTTATAATATATCAGCTATATCGAAGTAAGTTTAAGATACATATCTAATTTCTGTCATTTATAACATTAATGTTAAAAAAACAGTCTCATGGCAAAAGGAAAGTAACTATTTTCGTCTTATAATCCATCATCATTATCATCATCAGCCTGTTAATGTCTCCACTGCTGGGGCACAGGCCTTCCCTATCTCGATGGCATAGGGTGTTTAGGCCGTAACCCACCACGTGGATTCAGTGAGGATTGGTGGGTGTTAACTTCTACAGATGAAGCTGGGATCAACGGTTAACTTGCCTTCCGAAGCACGGAGGAGCTCGAGATAAAAGTTTTTGATCACCCATCCAATGACCGACCATTGCGAAGGTTGCTTAACTTTGACGTTCACGGGCTTTATGCGCTAACATAAATTTTGAATAAAGATATATTGATTTCTGATTTCTAACTACCTACGCCATGGGGCTCTCCCGCATAATAATATAACAATCTATTTTTATTAATTACAGGTACTTACATTATGTGAATTTAATGACATATGATATGTACGGTCCTTGGGAGTCACTCACGGGTCATAATGCCGGTCTCCATAAAGGAGACTTTGACGGAACTACCCCAAGAGAACAGTTGTTCACTGCTGATGTGGCTGTAGAGTATTGGCTGAGAGAAGGTATGAAACAGTTATTTTGTAATCTTAATGCTAAACTGTTTACTAATTAATTTCCAACCAAATGCAAGAAACTTTTACATTCTGATAGCTCCATTAGTTTGCTTGCGTTTGATTCACATCTTTACTAGAATACATAAATATTAACAAATTTACAAAAATCAGCGTGGACTCGAAACCTTAGGGTTTTTTTTTAATTCTGTTTGAGTCTATGATCATATACGAGAGATCAAAAGCAATTGATAAGTCAACATCGAACCTTTTATCAAAGAAAATAAACATAAACGTTTCTACATTCATATCTGAAGGCTAAAACTTAAATCCCATATTATTCCTTTCAGATATTGAGGAATCGTTCAAAATACACAGACTTTTCCGCTTTGTATAATTTCGATTAGTATGAATCAATCAACACAGAAGTACATAGAAAACCAAAATCTGACCAATTTGTTATGAACATCATACCCTAACTAAAACTTAACATGAATCCTTAAATAATCACAAAAGTTTCAATCATAAATAACATTTATCATCTTTTTTTTATAGGCTGCCCACCAGAAAAGATAGCACTAGGGGACCTTTCTACGGCCACTCTTTTAAGTTGCAATCTGAAAACAATTCCGATGTTAGGGCTCCTTCAAATGGCTCTGGTATCGCTGGTCCTTATACTGCTCAAGCGGGCTTAGTTGGGTACAACGAGGTAAGGCCCGTTTTCTATATTAAATGCTAGCACCTAGCACTTTACATGTCTATTCGTTTTGCTATTTGTCATTTTGAAATTAGTATATTCTTCCCGTACTCTATAGCGATTGAAAAGGGTTGTCAATTATTATATTTGTAGATTGTCCTCTAAATGATACTCGGTTTGCACTGTCTAGATTAAATAAAGATAGTCGAATAAATAATCCGCTCAAAATGAGCTATGATTGCTCAGATGCATACGGATTAAATCGAAGCGAGGTGAATTCGATAAGGGGTTGGCAACACGACCAAACAGCTCGACGTCTAGATCACAAATGTTCGGAAAACTGTTTGTTTTCTTCTTCGATTGATAATATGAAATTTAATTGTGTTGGTTGTTAAATTTAAAAATAGTTACCTGCAATGCAAAGAGCTGGCGCTGCCTTACAGCCTTAGAAATACTAGAAGAAACTCTACACCGCTATTAAGGTAGCGGTAGCGGTAGCGTTCGATTCCCGTCTGCTTCCTGGACAGCATGGAACTTTTTGTAGTAAAAACATTTATTTCAGTTTAATACATCATTTAGCAGTTAAATGCCTACAAAATAAAAATATAATAATAAACTTATATTATTTTAACGTGCTTGTTAACAGTTCTGCGCCATGCTCAAATCAGACCCATCCTGGACCATTCGAAGGGATCATCTGGCTAAAGTGCCTTATGCTGTCAACGGCTTAAACTGGGTGTCCTACGACGATCCCGAATCCATAAGATATAAAGTGAAATATGCCTTAGAAAAGAAGTTAGCTGGAATCATGATATGGAGTATTGAGACTGATGACTTCTACAACGTTTGCGGTGGAGGAGCATACACTCTTCTGAAAGCTATCAATGACGCTTTGTATTAAAAGCCTTTCCCTTAGAAGTAAGAAGAATTGACAATAGTAAAATGAAAGCCCGTAAGAAGAAATAATTTATTACCATTTACGTAAAAAATCTAATAATATTTATTGAAGAAATAATAGATTTTAAGTTTTCTTTTCTTTTACAGATGCAGTGTGTTGAACGTCTGAGGAATCCATTTCAGACTAACTACCAAACAATATTATAACAAACATTTTCCCTCTCAAATCTATTGCAATTTCAAAGATTGTTTTCAATTGTGATATTTATATAGATGAGTAAATTACTTCCCCATTTATTTAATAAGAAGAATAAAAATCAATTGTACCTAGAACTTTGTTGTTTAAATTTAAATTCGTTTATTCAATCCTAAATATATACCAGGTCAGGAATGGACTTGCTCTGTGGGCCTAGCTAGCTCTGCATGAACTGCTAGGGAAACTATTATGCGATACACATTAATAAAATTGAAAGCATACAAAAAAAGTCACAGATCTCAGCTGTAAACGACTTTACACTTGAATGGGCATTGAAAATGAGTATACCTATATTGAATAATATCGATAGATAATATTTTGGATAATGTCGTAGATATATATAGATACGTCCGATCTCGTGCTCTACACGACTTGAAAGGGCATTGAAAATAAATCTACTAACTATAGATTATTCAAAAAAATAAAAACCAACTTTTCCAAAATATTTTTACATCATCTTAGAGCCCTTCGAATTCCGCATCCCGAATTGTGTAGAACATTGTAAGCGGCACCAGTGATAGTGTTAAGGGAAATCTTCGCCCTCGAATCACTTAAATAATCTATATTTACATAATATATAATAAAATGGTAGGAAAGTCAAAACTGTACATTGAATATTTTTTTAAAAGAATACTTGGGGTGTGATCTAGAATTGATACCGAAGCCTAAAATATAGTTTTTAGAATTTTTGTCTGTTTGTCTGTATGTATGTCTGGGATAAAATCAAAAAGTACTACATGGAGCTACTACAAATTTGGCACGAATATTATTAAGAAGTCGGGTCAATATATAGGCTACATATTATCACGCTATCACCTACGGGGAATGAGCATTGAACCTTTATTTCTAACCAACTCCACGCGTAAGAAGTCGCGAGCGGCCGCTAGTTGATAATAACTTTGATTCGTTATAGCCACTTTTGAAATAATCTGAACCTTAGGCCCTGCCAGAATATAGTGGCGCTGCGGCTATATGCTGAGGCAAGGTCTTAGTTGATCTTCAAAAATATATCTTTCTATATTTTCGGATACATTATTTATTAGTTGTATGTAATTTATATGTCTTTTTCTTTCTTTCTTTCTTTAGCGTCCCATATTATAGAATGGCTTTAATAAAGTTCTAAAAATCTCTAGTTCGCGTAGCAATTAGCGTTGCTTTGGCAGGAATGTGGAACCCGGTTTAACGATAAAAAATCCGATTTGGGCGAAGCTTTTGAGTTCGTCAACACCAGTCGTTAGTTCGTGCACTAGTTAAACAATTTTCATGAATTGCACATGTGAATTGTTTAACTTCAAACTATACTCGACAGTAAATCTATTAATTTTAAAACGCTGACTTAAAATTAGAATCGATAAACGGTAAGACAATGACCACTAATGAAATTAGAACGAAACAGGCATTATGATGATCAAAATATTTATATTAATTATTTATTCACATTTCAGAATGCCGGGCAAGGCTAGAATTACAATATATAAAGAAAAAGCACTGCTTGTAGTCGTAGAGAATGACAAAACGTTGTCTGTGAAACTGTAAAATTAAACTAGACTGATATGCGAGTATGAGGAAGATGAAACGACGAATCCTCCTCCAACCAATTATTTGAAAGCTCGGGACGTGAACGTAAATGATTGTTGGCCTTATGATAACAACAAATATTATCACTACTACGACTACGACAACTATTATGTCTACGCCGGACAAGACTACGACGCGTACCATGAACAGACGACGTGCTACAAAATTCCTCGTGACCAGTTCTACGACAATGAGTTACCTAATGAAAAATTAGACGACTCATCGCAACAGACAGACAGGATAAATGAGGATTTTCCCCAAACTTTCAACATCAAAAAATTGAGGATAGAATTAAACCTTCAAACACTCCCCCACTTAATTTCCTTATTGATACTGGTGCTAACCAATCTTATATTAGTCCAGACGCCGTTCACAGATACTTTTCTCATTTAGAATCTACCTATGAACCATTTGAAGTTACGAACGTACATGCTACGAGTAGGAATAGTCATTCGATAACGCTACCGTGTTTCTCGGAATTCAATCAGCCAGGCGGAATAAAGTTATTCATTTACAAATTCCATGATCATTTCGACGGTCTTATTGGACTGGAATTATTAACGAAATGGAAATCTAATATTGATTTAAAAAATATGGCTTTAATAACTATTTCATCTTGTAACCCTATACTTATTTTTAACTCGCGTAATGCGAATTTGTATGAGGATAACATCTCTGCAAATTCAAAAAAAATAGTAGGAATTCCAATAAATTCATCTGATGGCGAAATTATAGTTCACGAACAGAGCCTTTGCAATTGCATTATCCACGAATGTTTTACAAACGTAGTTAATAACCGCGGTTTTGTTGAAGTAGAAAATCCAACGGGTAAATGGAAACACAATACTAATGCAGATGCCCTATCTATTATCGAAATCTGTGACGAAGAAACCAGCTCCATTGCTGTGAACCCATTAGAACGTCCACCATCTTTAACCGGGTCCTCCAAAGCCACTGTTCATACAAATGATTTCCTCATTTGTATGAACCCTACATTAGAAATCCCTATCACTGTCGAGCCTCTTAACAAATACCACAGACAGAAACACTTGACAATCGTAGATGACATAAAGAAGCGACCTACAGTGACAAAACCCTTTGACACTCATACCAGGACCTCCATACAATTATCTCGCAGTAACCTAGAAGAAGACCTAGTCCATGCAATAAAAGAATACGTGAACTCAAAGGTCAAAACAGCTCTTCTAATCACTCCGTTTCTAGACATGTGTAATATCATACCTATCTTACAAGATAAATTTAAATGCTCTGCTATGAACCTAGTTCTTAGAAAAAATTGAATTAGAAAACGTGAAGGAATACTTACGCCACCAAGATATAATTCATCACTACCACGATGGTAAAACCATCCATAGAGGTATTAACGAATGTTATTTAGGCTTATCTCGTAAGTATTACTGGCCTAAAATGAAAGAGCACATTACTAAATTTATTAATGATTGCACCATATATGGCCAAGACAAATATGACCGCAATCCTATTAGACAGGAATTTCACATAGTACCTCCACCGACAAAACCCTTTGAAATAATACATATGGACTTATTTACTGCCGAGAATGAGAAGTACCTAACATTCATTGACGTGTTCTCCAAATATGCTCAAGCATACCATTTAAGAGACAGCACAGCGCTTAGTATCATACAGGCTCTACTAACATTTTCTACTCACCATGGTCTTCCATTAACATTAGTGACTGACCAAGGAACAGAATTCACCAATCAGATGTTTTCCGAATTCACTAAATTACATAAAATCACGCATCATAAAACCCTCGCACATTCACCTAACGTCAATGGGAATATTGAACGCTTTCACTCCACATTATTAGAGCATTTACGCACTCTACGGCTACAGCACCGAAGAGAACCGGTGGTTAATCTCATGCCGTACGCAATATTAGCCTATAACAGTTCAATACATAGCTTTACGAAATGCAGACCCATTGATTTGATATTAGGTCACTTTGACCCACGCGACCCCTGTGACATTGACCTTAACGAACTATTACTCCAACAATACATTCAAACTCACAGAAAGCAAATGCAATTAGTCTATGATATTATAAATGAGACTGCACTTGCTAACCGTACTTCGCTCATTGAAAGCCGCAACAAAGATCGCGACATCAATTAACGGAATTGTTACCATGTACCTTGTTTTTTTATGAGTCTCCGATATTTCGGCACTGTTGCAAGCGCCATGATCACGGAGTAACTGAAGTAATTGCGGGTAGATGTTATTGGCAGACATATCGGTCTACCCTCCGACGTCCTGTTTTACTGCGCTCGATTCCCCTACCACTGGTCACATTCTCACTATTCACTCGCACTTGTTCCCGACACAAAATACTCACAGTATTAGATCGCGGAACGACACTTTTTTGATTTTTGTGGTTTTTACACATACAAACCACTGGATTCCAGACATTTGACAATTTAAACCCATCCTCACGATTGAAATTCTTGTGTTTGGTTATTTCAATCGCTTCCCTGACCAATCTTGGTATGTAGTGGCGTTCTGTCAAGATAATTTGTGGATTATGGAGCTCAATCCAGTGATTAGGACCTGAATCAATCAAATGTTCCGCGATGGCTGATGAACTACCCGCAATTACTTCAGTTATTCCGTGATCATGACGCTTGCAACAGTGCCGAAATATCTATTGAAACACGTGGAGTAAAACAACAGTTCCTTATTTTGACGAGATTTATTGCGAAAGGATTTACTCTGTTAACAAAACTATAATATTTTTACAGCTACGTTTAGGGAAGATACATAATAATTATTTAATCGTACTTACTTTCAACAGTTCGGTGATCCTTTTACACTTTTAAGTATTGTAATAGTATAATTTTACGAGACGACCGTCCGACACCGTGTCACTCGAGAGAATGAATCGCCGATGGCTGAGCGAAAGGAATGTCACTGCACCGCGTGAGCGAACGCAAAGGTTATAAGCTTTCTGCCAACCATAGACTAATTTTACACTTAACAAAAGAAGATAATCATATTATAAATATAAATCAAGTATGAATCAATAAATATATTGTAACTAGCAAACCAGTGAACCAAATGTTCACCAAAACCTGATTTCTCGAAAACCGGAAGTGCTACGTTACTCAAATCCGGTTTGTAGTCTTATCAGACTATTCTTAACTTATAACTTAAATATTCTCTTTATCTATCTCTTACGGTTTGGCCGCTGAAACAGCACCACAGACAGACGGACTTGTCTAATAGATAAGAGATTCCTTACATATCGGAGACTCATAAAAAACAAGGCACAAGGTAACAATCCCGTTAATAGCTATAATGTTAGTGACCATGAAAGTTTAAAACAATAAATCGTAGCCCAGTCGCTAAATCTCGTTTGAAACGGGTCCCTAAGAATATTAAACTGTAACAAGTCAATTCCCATGCT